GACAGCGCCTTACCTGAGCTGAGGGCACAGCAGCAGGCGCTCTGTTGCTCACCGCTATGATTCTTCAGGGCTTTCTTTGCTCTCCAGCTTGCACACAAGAGCTCGCCAGGCAGGAGAATGCACCAGGGAAGCTGGAAAGGATAACAAGCAGCTAAGCAAACTCCACTCCCCAGCAGCACGCCACAGCAAGAGGCACGACATCCAGTACCAGATCCCAGTTTCCGGGTTTTAATATAGCTTGCTCCAAATACTTTCTTTCTGCCTTTCTGGGTAAAAGAGGAGGGAGAGAACTGCAATCCTGCCTGCATGGTCATGAAGTGAAGGGAATAAACCAACCAACACAAAAAGCCCACCTAACTTCCACCAACTCCCATTTTCTCACTGAGACTTTCTAGATACCTGCAGCATCCAATACATACCTGACTGTAGGACTGCGTAACTTCACCTTGCACCTAAATGAAACACACCATAAGATGCTCTCAAAGCAGCACATCACCACCTCCAGCCTTTCCCCTTAGCAAAGAACATGTACCAGGCTGCCCCACACTTTATATAGAGCACGCAGCTGGGGAATGGATCATCACATCACAGAGCAGGTGAAAACTATTCACCCACACGTGGAGGAAGGCCGAAAGGCAAGGAGGGAATGACAAAGCCCAGCCCTGACAGCAGCACCCATCAGCCTGGATTAAACGCAGTCACAAATTTGACTTGAAAGCCATGGTTCATAGATGTACACGCACAGCACCTCCCTGTAACAGCAACAGCAAAGAAACGACAGCTCTCTTCACTAACCTCAGTGGGTTTATTTCTATAAAATATTAACTATATTAAGACTGCTTCATCAAGCTTCCACGTGGGCAATTGTATTTGGAAGTCTGCACAAAACCTGCCCTGTTAATGGCTTTTAAAAGACCTACATGAAGTAAGTCAGTGGCACAGATTTGCAGACAGTGCCTACCGAAACCTTAACCCAGAGAGTTTCCCATACACCTACTAGATGCTGGACCACCTAAACCAACATAAATGGAGGGGTGCTCTGTGGAAGGGGCTTGCTCTGCCACCCACAGTGGAGGTTATTTTTTGTTATCTTTATTTGTTCTTCAGGAATATCTGATTACAAGGAGAACCCTTCTGGTTTTCCATGTGATATCTGCTTAGGAGGTGAAACTGAGTGCCAGACTTCAGCCCTGAATATCTGCCTTCCTCCCCAGTCTTCACATGGATGATGAGAAGTGACACATGCATGAGTTGTCAATTAAACTCTTGATACAGGAGAGCTCTAAAAAGCACTCCAGAAGCAAGCACCATCCTGATAGGAACACTGAAGAGGTCTGATGAAGATACCACAGCAATACCCAATGGCCACCAGCAGCCTGGCAGCAAGGAAAACCAGGCTTGTTTTCCATGGCCAAGTGGGCCTGTCAGTTAATCAGTTGTTCTCACAACAGGAGAAGCACCAATGCACTCCCCTCTCCCATGGGCACAGCTTCCACTGCTAACCTGTTACATTTTCAACCATCATCTCCGTGCTGCCCCTAATGCTACAGCAGCAATGATCTCCTGTAATCTTCTTTAAATCCCTAAAACTCTACTCTTCTACCACGCTGTCAAAGATAACTGTTTGTGTGCCAAGTCCCTTCTCTTGTCCTCTACTGCGATTACAAACGCTCTGGGCAGTTTAGCCTGCGTTTATGCAGCACACAGGAAAATGGGCTCATGGTCCATTGGGGGATTTATAGGTTCTATAAATAATGGTAATAGAGTGATGGTAAATTACAGCATAAGGAAAATAAGTGATACATGCAAAACTGCCTAGGTAGCAGGAGAAGCAGTCTGCAGGAAAAGGGGAATTCACAAACCATCCCTTGGTGCCCCAGCTTACGTCTGTGCCTAGGCCATTTCAGTTCCTTCCCAAGCTCTTGACATTTAAGCCTGGAAAGCGAGTCTTCCCTGGGACAACTACAAGGGTGATAAATGGGAATGAATCTCATCTACTGGGTCTGTGGAAAACAGCTGGAATTGCCAGTGGGACAGCACAGACCATGGAGGCTGCTGTAAGCACAGGTAGAAGGCAGTGGTTAGGAACAGAGGTGCAAATGGAGCCTGATCTTCTGTCTCCTGTCAGTTTAAGGTATTGATGATGTTATCACCAAGGAGATAAATACGGGCTGACTTGAGCACAGGCTGCTATCGTCAGTGATAAAAAATATCTCTGTTTTACACTGCAGTCATAAAACCCAATGGTAGGCAGGTTTTTAGCTCTGATCCTGTCCTGTCAAACAGCGACATATGTATATATGCGTGTGATCTTTCTGGTTCCTGGCAGGAAGAAGCTATTAGAAGTATTTCTTCTTCTTAAGCTGTTAGGGACCGCTCCAGCTCACGTGTGTGGAGCAGACACGCAGCTCAGCTGTGCTCTGCAGGGGCAGCTAGTGAGGTTTCTGCCCCATTATTAATGGGCCCTGCAGAGAGCACCTGATGCTTCTGGCATTTCAAAGTCCACTGAATCAGCTCAGCGGCCAAAATGAAACCACTGTGTTTATCGGGGCATAACAGCTATAGCTGTGATTAATGCTCCCGCTGCCTTGTGGAAACAAACAGATGTCATTAGCTCGCTAAGGGCAAAGCTACACATTCTTCACCTCTGCTTTAGAGCAATGTAAAAATCAGTGTTTGTTTGAAACTCAGTGTTTCCCCAGGGAAAGAAACAGTTTCTGCTGCAACAGCCTGATGATTAATAGTGAATATTTAAGAGAACTAAAACATGAGACTATCAAACAATCCCCTAATGGTCTGGGTTCTGAAGAGGTTGATGAAAGGAATCTACTAATCTCCTTGGACATTGTGTTTTACTAAACAGGTCTTTAACATCTGAAATGCTTGTGCACATGCCTCTGGCACGGGTGGGTATACCAGAACCCCACTCAAACATAGCTGCTATTTATAACTCTTCAGCAAATGTGTCCAAGCACCTGAAGTCCACTCAGAAGTCACAGTTAGGGTGACAAACTGGCTTTGGCAGTGAGTGTGGCTTAAAGGGCTCTCCCTTTCCTCCTTCATTCCCTCCCCAGCTCCCCTGCAAGTCACAAGGCTTCAATTCTGCGCACAGGGATTGCTGTGGCTGTGTTGGATCAGGAAATCTGTCCAGGAGAACTGGGCTTCAGAAGAGGACAGTCAATGGCAGCATAAACTCCAGCCTTCTCCCTCTTTGTTACAGGCTACTGCAGAGCAAAGGAAGTCTGATTTATTAGAAGCTGCTCAGGAATATAAATACATCCATGGGAAGATTTTAAGCCTCTACTAACATTGAGATTTACTAACTCTGCATTTCTACAGCCATTCTCAGAGCATTTCAGTTCCTCTTTATGCCCTGAAAATGATCCCATTTTCTAAAGGGTCGAGCAGCCCACACACCAGAGTCAAATCAACCAGATCCGCTTCCACAGGTCTAGACCAACCAACTAAACCTCACCCATAACATCCTTTGAAAGCCTCCCCAGCATCTAACCCAGCCAGACACCAGGATGAAGGAAAATAAACTAAGCAGCACTATGCCTGACAATGAGATGAGGAGCAGTGGTGCTGGTGGTCCCCTGCCATCACCACAGCAGCTCCCAGCCCTGGCCAACAGAGCATGAAGCAGTTTGTTTTTGGTTTCTCCCTGTCATTACAGTTGGGAAAGGTGCCCTAAAGACTGGTTCAAGCTGGATGTGTTTGGACTTTGACTTCTCTGCTTAGGTTTCCAACAAGACGGCTAATGAATGCGGATGAGTTTTATGACCAGGCCACTAGGCTGTGCAGGGATATCTTGGTCAGGGCTGGGTTTAAGCCTACAGTTAAATTGTGTCCTCTCATGAACTTATCAGTCTACTCAGTTTTCAAAAGCTACATGTTTAGCAATAGCCTCTTCAATCCAGTGTGTATACAGAAATATCTAAGGCTGTTCTGGCACTCAATGTGAATGCTAGTTCAGGATTTGCTATGCCTTTAGCACCCACAAGTACCACTCCTGTCCTGTTGAGCCCTGAATTGTTCAAGATAGGCCTAATTGTTCTCAGCTTGTCCAGTGGTTTCAGCAAGGTAAAGCAAATACTTGCTTTTTGTTGGATTATTTTCCTACCATTTCAGCTCCCTGGCTGGACCCACCACGGGATCTAACGACATCAAGAATCAGTGCGAAGGAGAGAGCAGGAATGCACGTGTGGAAAAGGGCAGGGTTAGAGGGCAGCTTAAACTGTGGTGGAACAGCAGAACTACACTTGTTTGAAACTAACACAAAGTGGGACTAATCCACAACACTCTCAGACCAGCAATCTGTACTCAGAAGCCTCGGAATGTGAAAGCTGGATGGTGAGTGCCACTTCACCAGATCACTGAAAGCAGAGCTCTAATCAAAACCAACTGCCATGAAAACACATCCCTAACGGAATAAAACTGAAGCCATCCTTTTAGTTCTGCTCAGCTACAGGAGTTTGTGAGGATTTCTGATGCAACCAGCATTGCTCCATTTGGAGCACACCCCACAGATACTGACACTGAAAAAGCACTCTGCTTTCTGGATGCCTCGCCTCAGACTGGAGGCAAAGATGTGCTGAGTGCTGGGGCGATGGTACTGGCCTCATAGTTACTTCTCTCTCAAGTGGGTATCACGATCTATAGAGAAGGAAATGTGAGAAATACATTAACAGAAAATGAAACCCAGCTCCTATTAGCTTATTACTGCTAAACCCAGTAAGATTAACGTTATATACCTTATCCCCAAACAAGCACGGATTTAGTTAGACCAGCTGATGCTAACTTGTCTGCCCAGCTCCCTCTGGAGGCTGCCATTCACTGTAGCTTTTTAATTCACCCTGTAAAAAAGGTTAACTCTCCCAGTAAGCGTTTTGATTGTAATGATGCTTTCATGGGCAAAGGCTTCAGCCTAAACGCAGCCAATACGGGGTTTAAGTAGCCAGCTGCGGATCTTTGTCTTTGGTTTCTAATCAGAAAGAAGCCTCCCTCCCATTCTACAGCTGCAACAGATATAAGGGATCAGGCTCAGGAGCTCTCTTTTAACTTGAACGTTTTAGGGGAGGCACTGTTTTGGCTGTGACCCTAAAGAGCATGGCAGGTACCTGGAGAATTTGTGTTTGCTTCTACTGCTGCCTTCACTGGCTTTCTTTTAGCATCCAGGGCTCCCCTCACTCCCGGGCACGCGGAGCCTCTGAGGACACCAGCAGCGAGCTCAGCCCATTGCTGTGGCTGCCCAGAGGTGCGAGACGGGGCTATGCCCTCCTGCCTCCCCTCCTCAAGGTGCTGTCGGAGCGGGACCACCAGGGCTGGGAAAGCGAGGTCCCCAGGCTGCAGCCGGACTCCAGAGCCCTTCGCTACATGAAGAGGCTGTATAAGATGTCTGCTACCAAGGAGGGAATCCCAAAGGCTAACAAAAGCCACCTCTATAACACTGTCCGGCTTTTCACTCCATGTTCTGAATGCAAGCAGCACCCCAGGGACCTGACGAAGGGTAGGTGTGCAGGGACAGGAGCTGATGAGGTTTAAATGGGGGGTTCTATGTGTTCTGTGCTTGCAGCATAACATAAAATGTCTCATTTTTAGAGCTGTTGGTATTTTAGTCTGGGGGCTCTGCTCTTAAACTGCAGGAGTTTTTCATAACCTGCTTCTTGCTGAATGGCATTAGACAGTTTGGGAAATGCCACACCACTGGTGCTCTGTTCTAGATGATACCGATGTTTCAGGCTGACTCCTCTTGCTTTGAGTCAGAAAACTACAATCGGTTCTAATTAAAGTGAGAAAAGTAGGAAATATGGTTAGGCATAATGGGCACCATGTCTCCTTCTGCTGCCCATCTCAGTTTTGGGTTACTCAAGGCCATAAAACCAGAGCACTGTAACCAAGTGCCAGCATCTCCTTGCAAGATGACTTTTCTCCTTGCCTTACATGTTTGCTGGGGAAGAATCTGCTGCTGAATCATTTCTGTTTCTCCATTCTATGATAGTATGTGTCTAGGTGGATATTAAGACTCACTAACTCCCCAGGATTGCCATTTCCCTTCTCAGGAGACATTCACCTGGTGGATTTACTCTTCAACCTGGATCGCGTCACTGGTCTCGAACACTTGCTCAAGTCTGTCCTGCTCTACTCCTTCGACACCTCAGTTCCTATCTCCTCTTCAGTTACGTGCATGTGCCATTTATTTGTCAAGGAGCATGATTTTGCTGGCCAAGTCTGTCCCAGCGTCTCACATGCAGTAGCTTTTAGCCTGCACTTTGAAGTCAGAAAGCGCAAGTGGGTTGAGATTGATGTGACTCCTTTTCTGCAGCCCCTAATCGCTACTAACAGGAGGAATATTCACATGGCTGTGAACTTCACTTGTCTGATGGGTGATCCACAACAGAGCACTAACCTGGAAAACCCTGTGAACATGGCACTGGTTCCCCCTTCTCTTCTTCTTTACCTGAATGATACCAGTGAGCAAGCTTACCACAGGTGGAACTCACTGAGGCACACAAGGAAAATCCCAGTGCGGCCCAGGCGAAGGAACGGTCTGCTTGTCGATCCTTCGGGTGACAGAGGAAAAGAGACCCCACAGGGCAAAAGGGCCTCTCGCCGGCGGAGAGATGGGAATGGGAAAGACGCACCAGCAACTTCGCCCTCTGATCTGAGCGAGTACTTCAAACGGTTCCTGTTCCCTCAGAACGAGTGCGAGCTTCACAACTTCCGCCTGAGCTTTAGCCAGCTCAAATGGGACAAATGGATCATAGCACCGCACAGGTACAGCCCCCAGTACTGCAAAGGTGACTGCCCAAGGGTGGTCGGGCACCGCTACGGCTCTCCTGTGCACACCATGGTACAGAACATCATCTATGAGAAACTGGACCCGTCCGTCCCGAAGCCCTCCTGCGTTCCTGCCGAGTACAGCCCGCTGAGCGTCCTAACCATAGAGCCCGACGGCTCCATCGTCTACAAAGAGTATGAAGACATGATAGCTACCAAGTGCACTTGTCGGTAGTGGGTGAACCCCGGTTGGTTTTACTCGGGTTTTGGGTGTTTTGGCATTCTCAAAGTAGTTGCAGCTGTAATGAAGCGAATAGCGTTTGTGTAGTTCTCGTAGCTCTACAGAATCCCTTAGGATTTAGTATGGAGTCAGTAGAAGGTGTTTACACCAGAGCACTTATTTTTGTAGCCACTCGGCCTTTCTGGAATGTGCAATGAAATGTAAATAATACCTTTTTATTGGAATAATTTTGCATTTAAAATGGGGAAGAGACTTCAACTACCAGATGTCTATTTTAAGCTGTTTTCTTATAGATTCAAAAAGAGAAATAAACGCCGATCTTGCATACCACTTACATTCAATGCCTTTGAACTCTCATTTGAACCCTCCCCGCTGAGGGGAGTCATAGAATTCATAGAATCCCAGGCTGGAAGCAACCCTAAGGACCATCAGGCCCAACCTTTCTAGGCAAACATGACTTAGACTAGATGTCCTGGCACCCTGTCCAGCTGGATCTTAACAATGTTCAGTGTTAGGGAATCCACCACTTCCCTGGGGAGATCATTCCAACGGCAAGTTGTTCTCATTGTGATGTTTTCTCTTGTGTCCAGTTAGAATCTCTGCAAGAGTAACTTGTGCCCATCCTTTCCCTGATTCCTTGTAAAAAGGGAGTCCCCCTCTGCTTTGGGGTTCTATGTTCCAGTATTTAAAGGATGATTACAGCCTGGTTTGTGCTGAAGGGACCTCAAAGCTCCTCCAGCTCCAACCCCTGCCACGGGCAGGGACCCCTTCCACTGGAGCAGCTTGCTCCAAGCCCCTGTGTCCAACCTGGCCTTGAGCACTGCCAGGGATGGGGCAGCCACAGCTTCTCTGGGCACCCTGTGCCAGCGCCTCAGCACCCTCACAGGGAAGAGCTTCTGCCTAAGAGCTCATCTCAGTCTCTCCTCGGGCAGGTTAAAGCCATTCCCCTTGACCTGACCCTGCATCCCTTGTCCCAAGCCCCTCCCCAGGTTTCCTGCCGCCCCTTCAGGCACTGGAGCTGCTCTCAGGTCTCCCCTTCAGGAGCCTTCTCTTCTCCAGGCTGCACAGTCCCAGCCTTTGGATCATCCTTGTGGCCCTTCTCTGACCCTCTGCAGCCCGTCCCCACCCTTCCCGTGCAGCAGGGACCACAGCTGCCATGTCGTTCCACGCTCTGAGCACGCTGGGATGACGGCTCCTTTACCCGCGCGGGGGATGCCCTCCCTGCGGTACCCCAGCACGCCGCACGCACCACGCTGCGACGGAGCGACCGCAGAAGCATCCCCCGCCCCGGAAAGGGAAGCAGCATCTCCGCTTCCTCTTCCTCTGCGGCCCCGGAGCGGTGCCTCGGCCGGCGGGGGAAGGTGACCCGGCAGCAACATGGGGCTTCACTTCGGGAACCTGGCGCGGGTCCGGCACATCATCACCTACAGCCTGTCCCCGTTCGAGCAGCGCGCCTTCCCCAACGTCTTCTCGCACGGGGTGCCCAACGTGTGGCGCCGGTTCAGCTCCCAGGTCTTCAAGGTGGTGCCCCGTGAGTACAGCGGCCCCGGGGCCCTCCTTCCGTTATCCTTTTCCCCCTCAGCATCGGCGCTCTGGGGACGGGGCAGGCTCTGTGTGGCAGCAGCCTTGTGTAGCGCTGGGTGTAGTCACAGAGGGGCTGTGCTTATGGCAGTGCGGCTTGTGAGTGTGCCCCTTTGCTTTCCTTTCCAGCCTTCGCGGCAGCCTATCTCCTGTATTCCTGGGGAACCCAAGAGTTTGAGAGGCTGAAGAGGAAGAACCCTGCTGACTATGAAAACGACCAGTGATTCAGTGAACACGGATGTCCTTCTCTCGCTGTGTTATCACTTTGGGGTTGTTAAGCGTCTCCACATGACCAGAAGGGTATTAAGGAGGAGATAAGTCTTGTCTAATAAACTTTGCCCTGTGACTTTGCGTGAAATCTTGTGAGTCTTGGGATGCTTAAGGTGAGCAGCATCTGATCTGTGTCTGGTTTGCTCTGTCCAGGGAGATAATCAGTCGGGCTAAAGTTCTGTATGCTCAGATGCTTTTATCTCAGAGCATTTCCAGCCTGTTTCTTCACGGCGTTTCTCAGTATAACTAACACAGCAAGGGCTGCCTTCAGCTGGAGATGACTTGAAATAACACCTCCTACCTCCCTGCTGTTTGTCTTTCCATCCCTGGCTGCTGCTTCGTCCTCCAGCCTTGAGATCTGTGAAAGGCAAACAGCCCATGACTCGGTACTGCCCAGCACTGTGTGAGCTGGCTGTGGTCAGGCTGAGCATGGACCTCGACCCCAGTGCAGAGGCTTGTTCTTCACCAGGAGCCCCATGCAGGGACAGCGGGTACACGCTGCACCCCCAGCGGGTACGCAGTGCTCCGAGAGGGGTTTCATCACGATGCAGGGAAGGGATGTTTCCTGCATGAGAACAGGCAGGCACAGGAGCAGCCTCCCCAGGGGTGTCCTCAGCTGGGGGGCTTTATGGATGGGACAGGACATGGTGCCAGATGCCTTCAGCCCTGCCCCTTCCCATGGGAGACTGCACCAGACAATATTTCAAGGTCCTTTCCAACCTGTGGCTTAAATTACCTGGTTATATTCATTGATTAACTGTAGCTCTGCTATTGATGAGTATTAACAGAATCATAGAAACTAAGGCTGTGTAATACCTGAGGATGACTTAAAAACAACTGCTTGTAGTAAAGTGACTGAAGTATGGGACAAAGAAACTCACCCTGTGGCTTTAAGTGAACAAGCTCCACTGTTCGCAGTCCAAACACCTGACTGGTTCCCTTATCCTACTCTTCCCTTGCAGCTGACTGTCTCAGGCTCCTGCAGCACACAAAGCAATACGTTTATCTCCCTGTTGTGCTGTTCCTGCAGCTGGTACCAAGAATTTTATCTTATCCAGTGTGGGAGTGACGTTTCCCTGAGTCCATTTCTTGGTGTGCTCAGTCCTGGGCTATCTGGAGGACAAGGATGCTCGGGCTCTTCCTGCAGGAAGATGGGGATTACGCAGTTTTTATAGCTGAATGCTTTATTCTTTTGGGGCTCTTAGCACATGGGACTAAGCTTAGTGTTAGGGCTGTTCCTACTGCTCCTGTGCTTACTCCAAGCACAGTGTGATGCTGGCATAAACAGGAGTAATACAAGTCCTAGAATGGTTGGGGTTGGACAGGACCTTAAACACCATCTAGTTCCAATGCCCCTGCATCCTGCTTATCCGCCACCCCCAGCAGTTGACGGGTGGCTGGAAGGGTGCCCTGGTGCGAGCTTTTCTGTTGGTAGCTGCCGTAAACCCTCATTTTTCACCACATTGCACCTCAGCAGCTGCTGAAGGGCAGCAGCTCCGCTCGGCCTCTGTCCCTGTACACAGAGAGCTGAACCGTGTCCAAACCAGCCGCTAGACAAGCGCAAACACTGCAGCACGTTCCCAGCACCATCCCCTCAGCTGCAGTGTCAGCAGCGAGCAGGCTGCAGGCTGAGCCTCCTCACCCTTTGCTCCTGTCGCAACCCTGCCCAAACGCTGTCCTCTGGTCCCGCAGGGCCGTGCCCCGGTGCCGGTGTCCCCGTGCTCGCCGCAGGGCCTGGCCTGCCTGGCACGGAGCCGGAGACGTGGCATTCGGGACAGCAGCCAGGGGGACGTCAGGGCTGAACAAGGTGTCTGGACATTCTGCTGTCATCTCGTTTATTTCTGACCTCCCTTTGGTAAATATTGGAAGTGGCAGCGGAGCCAGCGCGTGGGTTTTCCTCTTAGAACCTGTGGCTTTTTGCTGACAACCTGCGCTTGTCCGTGTGGAAACACTTGGCTCCGTTTTCACCTTTCTTGCCCAGTTTCTTGCCCAGCTTGCTGCCTGAAAGGGACATGCTGATGCTGTCGGTAAGCCGGAAGGACACACAAGGATTTTGATCTACTGGCACTACGTACTGGTCTTACCCAGCCAAAAATGCTCAGAAATGATGACAGACAGAGGGGCTCTCTGTCAGAGCTGAAGGAGCCGTCACCTCAAATCCTGTGCTCCATGGATGAAGGCTCTTGCTGCTGCCGCTTGTCCTTCCTGTTCTGTGCTAGTGCCTGGTGGAAACAGCAGGGATTAGAACGAATTCTCCGGTATCAGTTGTAGACAATAAGCTGGGAAGGGTTTTTATTTAATCCCAGTGAAGTTTGGGCTAAGGGGCAATCATGTGTAGACAGGAACCTGACAACATGGCATTATCTTAATCTGACTTGCCTTCCACGCTGGCACTACTGCCCCCATGTTAAGCAATCACTGAAAATGGCAGCCTCTTAGGCACAGATGTGTATTTGCCATTCAGCAAAAGCACACTTCACTATTTTATACAGTATCGTGACTTAGCTTAAAACACAGGGTGCTCCAACCCCCCCACACCTGACACAGATAAACTGCTGGCATTCCCTTTATGCTACCCTGCAACCTCCAACATCTTGTCCCTGGCAGGTTGGGTGTACAGGGGGAGCTGCGGGAGCCAGAGGCACAGCATCCGAGATGAGGAGCAGGAACCAGTGAGGTCCAGGTACAGGCTGATCTTACTCATACTCTTCTCCCACCTGTCCCAGTGCTCGTGAGCTGAGGGGGCTGTTGAAGGCAGGAGGTAACACACAGCTGTTCTTCAGTGTTCTTTTCTCCGGGCTGTTGCAATCTCATTTCACAATGGGAAAAAACTAACATTCCTCTTAATGACAAGCTGCTCACCCACATCAATGGGAGCTGAGGCACCCTTTAGGAGACTGATTGTGAGTTACAGTGTAAGGTGCAGACTGTGGCAGTGACAGCCCATTGAAAGAAGCCACAGTCTTGCCACATGGAGCAACTCTGCTCCAGAAACCCTTGCAGCAATCTCTCCTTTTGGGATTCACCATTTAGAGGTTATCATCTTCACCTGCACATCAGGCTCCCAGGGAGAAGAGGTCTGTTTTATCATGTACGACATACATTTTACATTCCAAAACCTATCTGACAAGTGTTCCTTCTGCTTTTTGAGTGCTGGGGGGGGCAAGGCAGGTTAAGTAACTTCCTCATCATTCTTTCACATACCAAGACTGAGAAGCAGAATGAAAACCGTGATTCTCTGCTCCAAATAAGCTCACTAAGACAAAACTTCCCCCAGCTGACAACCTCAAAGCTGCACACAGAAGTTAAATAAGGTCATGGCTTTTGATCTTTACCCTAACACTTTGGGCCAGCCACCCTTTTGCATTCAAATCCACCCCAGGGGTTCTGGTAATGCGCTGGGTAGGTTTTAAAGGAAGGAACAGCTGGCACAAGTGGTAAGCTGAGCAGACAAAGTACAAGTGGAAGGAGGGTAAATCATTA